ATATATATATATATATATATATATATATATATATATATATATATATATATATATTTCATATTAATGAATATATTCTTAAACTGTGAACAAATTACAAAAATACATAATGTTTAAACAATGTACTGTTGTTATTAATAATAGTTTCACTTGACATTTTTACCACAGACAAACCGACTTTCAAAGATCTTTTTGTCACAGCTAAGATCTGTTTGTTCAGCTAAGAATCTGTCATTAATTTCGAATTTTCCGAAAATTACAAATAAAATTACAAATAAAAATTAAACAAATGAAAATGCGTTGGATAAAATTTATCCATATTTAGAATTTACTTTTTTATGTTTAAAGTTTTACTAAATAATTCTCTCTATATCTCCGATATATTATTATAACCTTATTACTACGGCCATTATCAGAATATTTATAAAAAATATACTTCTTTTACGATAAAGATGTTCTTTATCTCTCCATTTTTCTTAATTGTCTGTCTAATAACTTGTATTATTCTTAGTTACGCGCGTGTATATATATATATATATATATATATATATATATATATATATATATATATATATAGACATGCAACTAGGAATTGTATTATATCAAAATAAAATAAAAAATATCTCGATAAGTATACAATTTTTAATAATTTTACCAAAGTAGTTTTGTACGTAGAATAATCTAAGGAAATAATTTATGCCAGGAAAACTATATGATTCAATTAAAAAAATTTAAGTTGATTTTGAAATATGTATCCTACAATATTTTCATTCAAAAAATTAAGTCACTACATTACATACTTCTTCAAAACTATAAAATTATTGTAGGTATTATTTTTCTATAGTTTGAATTATCGAAGATATTTGAGGTGAACTTTTTATCAAATTCGCCTTGCATATATATCGCTTTAAATAAAACTTATAATATCTTTTTTTTTTACAAGAATTGTTGAAGATTATCAAGAATGGAAAAATTTTACTAATATTTCTATTTCTAAAGTCAATTTTCTCGAAACCTGATTCACGCAAAGATTGTATTCTAGACATTACCTTTATTTTTAGACGAGAATTTTACTCTCTGTCGCTTCCTTATTTTCTTTTCTAATTATACCAAACTCGTCACACCTTGTTACATAAAGTTTCCCACTCCTACAGCGTGATTTGTTAATGACAGATTCTTAGCTGAACGTGGCAAAAAGACTTTAAAAGTCGGTCTGTCTGTGGTAAAAATGTCAAGTAAAACTATGATTAATAACAACAGTACATTATTTAAACATTATGTATTTTTGTAATTTGTTCACAGTTTAAGAATATATTTATAAATATAAAATATATATATATATATATTTTACTTTTTCAACAAATTTTGACTTTCCTTTTTGTTTAATATGTGTTACGTAAATTTCTTTAGAAAGAAAATACATAACTTTAATCAGGAAGTCAATTACATCATTGATATTTCTATCTTCTTCATATGTCAAAATATTAACATGTTTCAAGTTTCAAATAATATATACTGAATTAATTGAATTATTGTTGCACTTATCATCAAATAGTGAAAACACTAGAAAAGTAATATCGTAAAAATTAACTAACGTTAAAATAACTAAATAACTTATTAGACATGATATTGTTTGTAATTGCTTTCCACGAAGAATACATCATAGAAAATATGTACGATACTCGATCTATGTCAAGCGTTAATAATCTATATCGATTAATAAACTTAACAACTACACACACGCGCGCACGTGATCATTTAGCGATTATAAAGAAACAGTAAAGGGAGAAGGAGGAGGAAAAAGAAAAGAAAGAGATAGAAAAGAAGAGGAAATAAGAAAGAGTGCAAAGAGGAGAAAAGAGAGGAAAAAAGAAAGGAAGGAAATATCATAAAGGCTGCTCTGAGGAAAAATTCTTTTCTAATTGAAGAAGAAACTTCTCTCGAAATTGAAAATGTAGCTAACTCAGATGTGCTCGTTGTGCTTACGATAGATAATTCTGAAACTGAAATTAACTATAAAATAGACAATGTTTAAAACAATTTTACATTATTACACGACGTATATTCTGTAAATTGCCGAATTGAAAACTTTAATTAAAACATAATTGTTCTCTTTACGACTGATTTGATTCGATTTATCAAGGATGGCAAAACTGCAATGTTACCTAAGCCTTGTGCTAATGTCATGTGCCGGTATATTTACGAGATTAGAGGCTCATTATCCTAAAGAACAAGAAAGTGATTCCGCAGAACTACGTCTTATCAGCACGGTGAGAGATATGAAAATTTGCATTGTGCAATTAAAAGCACGCGTTATCGGAAAAACACAAGGTTGACGTACTATCTAATTATTCAGGTATTCAGACACGGCGATCGGACAATGGACCCGACAGTTGGAGAATTCTATCCAACTGATCCAAACAATAACTTCAATTACTACCCATATGGCAAGGGTCAACTGACAAACGTAAGATCTGACTTACATGTTTAAATGTAAACATACTGCATCATATTGTGTTAATCCTTGCACTACTAAAATCGTTGAATGTAGCGCGTATCAAATATTTATAAAAAAAGATATTTACAAGATTCAAAGAGTTTAGAAATTAGTGTTGATGTACACAGAACATGCACACCACATTTAAATAAATGTTTCAAGTATTTCATAAATTTATATATCCGCGAATATATCAATATAACCTTCCTTGCTTTAAAAATTCGATAAGAATTGATGAAAACAAATACAATTGATGAATATAAACCTCATTGAAATATGATTTTATCCGAAATTTTCATTTTTATCGAAATTTCCATATTACTCACATTTCAGCTTATATGAAAAAATTTATCAGTTTCTTTTGTTTTATTTTGCGTAATTTATTTTTAACTATTAAATATTTACGTAAGTACATTGCTTTTTTATATGATTTTACCATTTTTTATCACAAAAACACAATTCAATTACATAAATTTTTCTTATATAATTCAATCGAATGTTTTAAACAAGGAAGGAAGGAAGAAATTTTATTATAAACATTAAATTTATTCAAAATCCTAATTTCTAAATCCTAATAAGTTTAATATTTCAGTCAAGAATAATAAATTAAGTTTAATTTGCTATAGATAGTCGAACCAACGTTTTTTTCTTTTTTTTAAGTTGTATAATATTCTTGTAAAGAGAATAAATTCTTCTTTTAAATACATGATAATGAGTTTTTCTAAAATTTATTTTGAATATATTTTAAAACCGTTATCAAGAAAATATTCTTTGTTGACATCATTACTTAAAAGAAGGAAAATAAACTGAGTAATCTTAGCAGCATTCCTAGCAGTAGAATGATATTTTTTGTGTGCACAGAGAAACATATGTGCATATAACATTTCCAGTTTCTTGTAATATTATTTATCTCGCATTGATCTCAGAAACCTTAATACTTTATTGTTAAATCATGCCATGTTTTCACGAGAGTAATTAACAACTTAGTCACATTTTATATTTCTTCTGATCTTCATCGTTGATATCATTATGAAGGAAGGCAAAAGAAGAGCGTATCAATTTGGGAGAATGTTGAAGCAAAGATACAATAATTTTCTCGGAGACATTTATTATCAACCAAATATCCATGCGCGCAGCACGGAACTAACCAGGACTAAGATGACGCTGCAGTTGGTCCTTGCAGGGCTTTATCCTCCTCCACGTATTCAAAGATGGAATCTGAACTTAATGTGGCAACCGGTGAATATACAATATAATGCGAATATTACGAAAGATGGTCTCCTGTTTCCGTACAACTGTCCCACGTAAGCAAATCTTTTCCACCTGTATACATCTGCAATAATAATTTGAGTATTCTCAAATATTTTAATGAAAATCTTTCATAAATTACAACATTCCATCGAAGCGCTTGGATAGAAATAATTTCCGTAACTAAAACTATTTTGAATATATCTTTACAAGTTTTAAAATTAAACAATAATAGTAATTTTATTCTATGAAATTCCCATATCCATTATAAACTTGAAGATTGTTTCAGACATCTCATCATAAATCGTATCGTACTCATTACTTCTGGATTATTCTTTATTCAAATTAATTTTTTTAATTCTTTTTTTTATAAATTTTTTTAATTTTTAATTTTTTCAATTTTTAATCTTTTTATCTTAAAATGTTCTCTTCTTGATCTATTTCGGTAGATATCAGCAAAAGCTATTAAAAGTTTCACAAACTCCGAAAGCGATAGCAGAAGAAAAGCAATTTGACGATTTAAAAGAAGAAATGACAAAATATACAGGAAAAAATATTACCAGCTTGACGGGTTTATTTGGTTTATATCACACTTTATACACGGAATACTATTTAGGCTTACCTTTACCCGAGTGGACACAAAAGGTATTTCCGTACGGCAGATTGTATGATGCGTCGATATTGCAGTACAACATGCTTAGCTACAATGACGAGCTCACTAAACTTAATGGAGGCAAGTTTAAATAAAAAGTATACAAATTCTTTGAATGCTTTTCTAATGGTTTTCTAATTACTAAAAAATTAATAAAAATAATGTTCTGATTATGTTAATTACTGAAAAAAATTTTAATTAGTTTTTCCAATTATTAAAGATTGAAACAAACAACTCATATTTTATCTTGTGCTGTATATACATTAAATCTTCACAAAATACACGTGTAATACTTTCCAGGTGTATTATTGCACAGAATGATTCAAGATATGAAAGAAGTAATCAATGGAACTTCAGTAGATAAAAAGATCAATCTCTTTTCCGCACATGACCTAAACGTGATCGCTATGCTTCAGGCTCTGGGTGTATATAATAATATTTTTCCGTCGTTTTCAAGCGCCGTTATTATAGAACTGCTCGAAAAGAAAGGCAATTATTTCGTCAAAGTAAGTCACGTTATTTTAATGCGGCTCATGTCAATTTCGAATTTCCTTCGCTTATTAATATTACATATCACATTTTATTTAATGCGCCCACATAAGGTAGCGCGATCAACTAATTAATAATAACAATAATGTATTTTCCATCTGCAGGTATTATATTATTTAGGTATACCAGCTGAGATAGTAGAACTACAAATTCCTGGCTGCGATGTAATGTGCCCATTCAATAAATTCGTCAATTTAAGATTAGCCGCAACTGCGCCTGATGAAGAAGATCCAAATTGCCCGAGAAACCTTCCTGATAGTCCATTTAAATTTTAAACAATCTACAGAGTGCTTCAAAAATGTCAACATTTATATAGAGAATAAAAAAAATGTCAACACTTATATGGAAAAAAATTATTTCAGATTTTTTATACTATGGTATAATTTCTAAAATCTATACTTGAGAATCTAAATCCCCAAAAATTGGAAATTATTATTTTTATTATTGCATGTAAAAAATTATTTTATCGTACAACACTCAACAAGAGTAACTTTCATAACTTTTATAAAATTTTTATAAAACTCATTATAAGAAATAAATTTTCACAAGTGGAAATAAAGTTAAGGACAGTATACGTACAGCATATTGCATCAACATATAAAGCAATATGACGGGTTGCACGGCTTTGCACGGCTTTGCACGCGTGATTGAACGCGGCTGGATATATAATATATATATGAAGGCATATATATACATATAAACAGGGTGGCCCACGTAAAGTGTTACAAGCTAATAACTCTAAATATATTTGTTCTATCAAAAAGTTGTTCATGAGAAAGTTTCATATATTCGAGGGGCCTTTCTAAGTACGTAAACAAAAATCCATTTCCGTCCCCCCTTGAAGAGGGACGGGGGGTAACTTCAAAATTTCAAACGGGACTCCCTATACAATGTTACATATTTGGATTCTACAGAAAAAGCAAGTAAACTTTGTCTGAAACATTTCTTCGGAAAATGCTCCTATCAAAAGTTATAAACATTTAAACTTTTAGCTTTTCGGGGAGATCCTGTTCCTGATCTTTGGACTATTTTTTACAATGGTATATCAAAGGGGAGATCACATCTCAACCACTTACAACGAAAGAAGGCTTAAAACGAAGAATATGTACAGCTTACACTAAGGTGCCTCAGAAATGTTGTTTAGAGTTAGGCAAAGTTTTGTAAAAAGAATTAATAAATGTTTATATTTAGTTAGTGGTCAACAGTTCGAACATTTAATAAAATAAAACAAAACAGAAAAATTATGAATCTTATTTCATTTATTATTAATTTCAATGCATTCTACATTAAAGTTTAAATGTTTATAACTTTTGATAGGAGCATTTTCCAAAGAAATGTTTCAGAGAAAGTTTACTTGTTTTTTTCCGTAAAATCCAAATATGTAATATTGTATATGGGGTTTCATTTGAAACTTTGAAGTTACCTTTCACCTTTCTTCAAGGGGGGACGGAAGTGGATTTTTGTTTATATAGTTAAAAAGGCCTCTCGAATATATGAAACTTTTTTATGAACAACTTTTTGATAGGATAAATATAACTAACTATAAAATAATTGAATTTACGTTAAAAGTTACTCAAATAAAATACTAACTCAATTAAAAGTTAAAAAGTTAAAAAAAAATTTGAAGTTACTTACGGAAAACTTAATTATCTAAAACTATATATGTTTGTATTTTTTTTATTACATAAATAATCTTTAAATTTAGCTTAAATTTATGTAAAATAATGAAAGTATATTAAACAAACGACCAATCGCAGTTAATTATTTTTCGACCGTAAAGAGAATAGTCGATTGTGATTGGTCAATTTCCTTGTTGCTTACGTCTTACTGCTTAACCTATTCAGACTCCACGTGCACAATTTTGTACAACAACTTTGAAGCCTTATACAATTATTATTTTTTATGAATTATTACTCTGCGATCTCTGGGTGTCTTTTTTCCAATGAAGTTTATAACGTTCAAATATAATTATGACAGGCTTGGATAATAATAAGCCTATGAGAATCATATACTACAACATCACTATAATCTTTCTTCATAAGAGAAAGGAACTCCGTATAAGGGAATTCGAGACATAATGGGCATAGTAAGGTTTAAGCAAGTTTTAAACATATTAAAAATAAATCAATCAATCTGGTTTTATACTGAAATATTCTTTGGAATATCTACTATAGAAAAAAGTTTTATTGCAAAAGAATAGTCCTTTAAAAGAACGAAACTGTTGTTTTATTAAAAACGTGCATTAACTTCATAATATTGTTTATGCGAGGCATAATGGAATACCTCACAAAACTTGTTTATTTTCCAAAAATTAATGTTCAAAATTTCTTAAAAGTGATTTAGAACACATAATATAGGTAGGAATATATTATTGCATTTCTAATTAATATTTTTTTATCAATACCCAGATGACACAGAGAATTCAAAAAGAATTCAGTCGTATGTCACCAATTCTGAATTTATTTTTAGATGCAAAAATAATTCTTTTCACTGAACTGAACTCTGAAGAATTTTTTTTGCATTTGAAAATAAACTCAAAATTGATGACATACGACTGAATTCTTTTTGAATTCTTTTTTAATTCTTTTTGAATTCTCTGTGTTATTTGGGATCACTTCTCTTATTACATTATCCAAGTAGGAATCGTATACGTTTCGCCAGTACGGAAAAATGGCCCGACATTGGGTCGATACCGAAAAGCAGATTTCCGGATTTGATACTGGTTCAGTACTGGATCTTATATAAATATTCTGTATTATTGGTACTGGCTCCGTACTAAAATTAGGTACTGGATAATCGTACCGTACATGTACTGAGGCGATACCGAAAAGTGTTTATTGTTTTCGGTACTAGCCCAGCATTAAAAAAGCTGTATTGGCCTTATTCGTAGAATCAGTACTGGATTCCCAAGAAGAATTGTATAATCTGCCAGTAGAGAATATTGGGCCAGTATTCTGCCCGTACTGAAAAACGTACAATACCAATGTCCTTTATGGAAAAACGAAAGAAGTCACTAACGCGAAGCTTAGATAGCTCACTGGTAAGAACGCTTGCTTGACAAGCAAAAGACACGAGTTCGATTCCTGCCGTCGCTCCGAAGATTTTTTCCTCATATGACTATTAAAAATAGACATGTATAGGTACAAACAAAAGCAGCCGCGGCCATGGTCTTGATCTTTCCTTCCGTACTCATATAGTTGTGATATTAATAATTGTACAAATAATAAAAATTACTAGGAATCGATACTGGCTCAATACTGGCAATAGGTACTTCCCCAGTACTAGGAATCAATACTTTTTTTATACTGGTACAGTACTGATTTTTGGTACTGTAGCAGTACTGTTTTCCGATACTGACCCTTTTCTATTATCCCAGTATCACACCAATACTAAACCCGTACTGCCATATAGTACTATGCCAGTAACGTTTACCATAAATCAGTACTGGGCCACTTTGATGCCAGTAGTAAATTCCTACTTGGGTATATATATATATATATATATATATATATATATATATATATATATATATATATATATATTTCTGTCATTAAAATATAAATGAAAATTAAAATTTCGTGTAATACCTGTGATTAATATTTGATATAAAATTTACAAAACGTAACATATATATTCATAGTATAAAGAGAAAAAATAAAATCTTAAGAACATAATACAAATATACTCCATGTATTAGTGACCCGTTATACCTCGAAGTGTATAAATTTATTGAAGATAATATAAAACATCATAGACAATCGAGATATTTACACAAATTCTTTACTAAAGTGACAAGAAAAGATCGTTTAATAATGCAAATGGAATTACGATAATAAAAAAGTGTTTTATTATTACTTACCTTATGTAAGTGTATAAAAAAAAACTGCAACTCAGTCGCAGAGAGCACAGTAAACGCATTAAACAATTTCTAGAAACTTTCAGCTAAAATTAATGTAACAACTTATAACAGCATACAGCAAGATACATCTAACAATAATTATTGCATAATATTTTATTACATACATCTTTGTAAAAAGTTATCTACTATACCTCATTATATCCCATGGGCTCATTATGCCTCAGATTCCCCTATTATGTTAATTTTATAAAATTAAAATTTTTATCTTATGTTGTCGTTTCATGTCATAATAATCACAATGAATACTATCCAAGCCTGTCATAATTATATTTAAATATTGCAAACATTATTGGGAAAAAGATCCGCGACTCGCTCGCATATATGTATACCGTCATTACTTACTCAAGCGCACTCGACCACGTGTACCCCTGCAAGATCTGCCGCGCAACCTGTCATACTGTTCTATATGTTAGTGTACACGCGTATACTCGCGGCGAAATGGGTTGTCTGCTATTTGTTTTGCGAGTTCCGGAACACATTCTTCTTGCCTAATGAAAGAATTTTTCTATTCGAAAACAAATTCTCCCATTAAACAAAACAATGCGTTCTGATACTTACACAAAAAATAGCGAACAACTTATTTGGTCACGAGTTTGTACAATATGTAACTCGATAAATGAGAAACTTCAAGAGTGAATTTATGTATATATAAACAATGAAATCTAAGTTCCTGCAAATATATATACGATTTGATTTTGTTTTTGAGCTATAGCAAATTTCGTTTTTTTTCAGCAAATTATGTCTGTTTATTTCGCAAGAAATCTTTGGAATATGACTGACTTGCATTTCAATTTAAGTTTGCAAACTTCTAGCCATAGATGCGTTACTCTGGTATAATGTAATCTCTGACAATAAACAATTAAGTGAAATAGTTTAACTGTTAATTTCTGAATTAACTTTACTGTTAATTACTAGACTGCACGTATTCATTGTGAAACAAAAACAAGATCAAATCACAGACATATTTAAAGAATTCCGGGAAAAAAAGATTATATATAATTATATATAAATATATATGATTATATATGATTATATATGAATTTTGTCCATATATGTGACCTTATATATATGATCATATCTAATTATATCTAATCATATCTAATTATAAATGTCCATATATAAAACGAAAATTGTCAAATGGAAAAAAGAAAACATAATTTGATTCGATTAAACGTCGACATCATGGGCTATTATAAACATAAGCATTTACTTCAATTGTATCTTCACAATAGTATTCTTTTCAATGTCGACATATATAATTATATATGATCATATATAACCATATAAGGACAAAATTCATATATAAACTTTTATTTTCCCGGGAAATATCTTATTTTACTGTTTTCAAATTTTGTATGTCTAGTCATGTATATCATACCCTTACA